AAAAAAAAAGTGTCATAACAGAAAGCACCATTGCAAGGTGAGCTTTGGTTGTTGTGGGGAGTTACCCGCGCGATCACATATCAATAATGACACCCATGCTCCTACTGTAGGGACAGATCATGACGACTCAATCAGCGTTAGCATACAAAAACCGACACGAACGATTACGGTATTTTAAACTGTTTCTCGAGTAGAGTAATCACTAATGTGTGAGGCACAGTCAGTTGAAAGTTCGATCTGTAGATTCGTGTTACTTGTTCGAATTTTCGTTCTACACAGTGCTATTCTGCAAGGTGAACCCAGGATCAATTATCTGCCTTAGCCAAGCCTTACATCCTTCTCTCGGGTCTTTTGTTGGCACCAGATTTGTCTGAGAGGATAACTGACTTGTGCATTGGCTGGCCACCGCAAGTCATTGTATATGCCTCGTATGTATTCAGTGTGTCACTACGATTCTGAATGAAAGTCGATTGCGGGGCTCATTCCTCAGACAGGATTGATTAGCACCTCAGGACTTCATCCTTTTCATTCTTCAATTTCTACTCCATTTCCCAATAGCGCCTTCTCTTCTATGCAGGTCACAGCAGAGGGGAATTTCTCTTAACAGAAAGTCATCATATTTGGTTGTGCAGGCTCACGAAACCTGCTACCTCACTATTACTTCGAACTTGATCAACTACTATCAGTGCAGGTAATTTTATGGGAGGCATCGGCTTCAAATATGCCCGGTCTAGTTTGCCATTGAGCAGAAAGCGAATGCGTCTCAATTATTCCTGCAATCAAATAGAAATTGAATGCATGGCGTGACTCAAGAGGGAAGAGTCCCAAAAGGGCCCTGTTCGTCTACATCTCCACGTCAAACCTGCATCTCAGCGGACCTTGATCACATTTTTCTTTGCTCTCAAGGAAATTACTTATCTATATTATATACCAGTAATACTACTGTATCCAGCAGCGAGATAATCCAAAAAGAGGGCACTTCCGCAGGTTGAAATTGATCCCATATGGGATATGGTTACTGCTAATATTTCCGCGGCTAATCACCGCTATTGTTCCCTAATGAATAGGTTTTTGCAGGTGTTCCTAGCGGTTAGATTGTATCTGGGCACAAAGGTTTTTGGGTATTTCCTAGTAAATAGGTATCATAGATGACGAATGTCGGGTTCCGCTGTTTTCACCGTATTGCTAACTGCTTCAGGTGAAACCTATTCATTAGGTAACAATCATGGTAATTAGCAAACAGCAAGTAATAAAAACATTTGCAGTGTTAGCCACAGCTCTGCATAAAGCCATTTCCAGCTTCTCTCTAAGCCCACACAGATGTTTCTACAACTATGTAATTTGTCTCGTTTTTTTCTGCACTCAGCAATTCCTGAAGTACATAGTCACAAAGTTCTGATGAGATACTGATGGAGAACTGGCAAATAGCGCTGCTACCACAATCGAGATCCAGGGATCACACCATGGAACTACTCCCGCCAAGTAAACCCTGACCTTGGCTATTAAGCAAGTACCCACCTGATCTCACTGTGAGCCTTGCTGAATGCTGATAACTCGGGTGATCCCGAAATCGCATTGATTGCCAGCGCCTTCACTTGATCAGAGCCTTTTTGATTTATAGCACTTGTACCTCGATTATGGTCCTGACCATCCTGAAATTTCACATTTAAGCAATTAGCAGCTGACAGGAAACTTTTTCAGTGCAAATTCTTCACCCCGATTAATTGTTTACTTGTTTATTTGCTTACAACCACATTTTGAACATGTGTAGATTTCAAGAAGCAACTAGAAACAAAGCATACGAGGAAAAACAAAATACTTGAAACATAGTGCTCCCACATGCAGCTTTCAGCTATGCCGTTTTCGATCTTTACTATTTCTATTAATTCATTAATGCTTTTTGGTTTCTCCACTGTCTAATAACTACAAAATCAATAAGAGAAAATGAAAAAATGACTTATTTTACATGAAAAAAAATAATGGTTATAACGATAAGCGTGTAGCGGTTGGTAGTCTATGATTACTGCTTGTTTGAACGGGACATATAATAGCCTCCTTGGCATACTGGATTCCATGGTCCAGGGCTCTTTACTGTCGGTTCGATCGCTTTGCTCCAAGCATCAAAGATTGACTGCTTCAGTAGCCACTCACAGTACGTAGTTCTGTGGAAGATTCTAGAGACTACTGAAGGCCTGGACATTGTGGGAGTTTGGCAGATACTTTCCAGATGTTTGAGGGGTACTTGTTAAAAGTAAACCTAGGATCTACTAGTAGCAGTGAACTGGTATTTACCACTCAACGCTCATTATTGAAGAGGAAAGGAGGATCGATTCAATTTCAGCACAAATTTTTGCCCTCTAATTCAGCTTTAATTACTACATTGTAGAGAAGAGAAGACTCTGCTATTATAAATGGGGATCGATACACTTTTTATGCACGTGACAACGGCTAGCTTCACCTCTGCTGTATCTGCTCTTTCACAGCAAACCCACTAGATTTTCTGTTGTAAACGTCTACGCCTTATCGCCACTGTCTCTAACCGTACTTTTGTGATGATGAGTTCCTACTGTACTTTACCGTATACAGGATGAACGATTCGGACACAAGTGAAGAAGAATCGGTAGCGGCTAGGGACCGTAAGATTGCGGCTGCAGTTATATTTGCGGTAAATATCTGCTCTTTTGTGTTGTTTATTTCTGCATATTTTGATTTTGCTATAGAAATCTTTACTCACCCTGGCTATTTTAATTGTTCTAATTACTCGCACAATTGGAGAGAGTAAATGTCACTTCGATCATTTACAACAATTAGTAGTAGTTTATGTCAGCATCAAGTCAACAATCCGTTATTCATTCAAGGCACATACCGCTTATAATTTGGAAGACAATTGCAAATGTATAGTAGTTGAGGAGGGGAGATGAGGTGTACCGCTCTCTTTCAACGCTGAGCGCTGGAGCGCAGAACTTCGACTCGAAACTTCGACCTAACTTGTGCTCAGAGAATGTTCTTAGCCAAAAGAATATAGTTTTCACCCAAGCCATAGTGGGAGAGGAGCACCGAGGCGTTGAAAAGATTTCTTTGTGCAAAAGCCGGAATTAGATATGAATTGGACACCCAACAGACTCATCCATCTCTCCTTCCCTCCTGAGGCTCAGTTTGCAAAGCTATATTTCTCTGTTAAGAAACGTTCCCAGGCAACATTATGGGCACTCGTAGCCGCCTATCTTTCTTCTTTCCGTACTTTAGCACTCAGTTTTGGAAAAGAGCCCTTCCCCTCTTTGGTAGTTGCGACATTCAAGAAAACAAGGTGGAGATCAAGGCTCAAAGCAGAGCTGGAGAACCGACCATTTTGAACGAAAAATCCGTTCGACTTCAGTAGAATTGACAGCGTGGGATAGAGTCGATCGGCCAACATTAATCAAACGCAGTCTCGATAATGCAGGTGTAAGAACACGATGCACGTAAAGCATGTGTGCGAGTTCGAGTCCCGGGGGCTGAAGTTATGCCAACTACGAGGCGCATCGGGATGAATCTATCATCGCGGACACCAGCCAAAGATCGCCAATTTTTAAATAAAAAAATATTAGACCAATCTTGCTAAACCTTTCAAAGAGGTGAAGATAATCAGAAACGACACGAATTGATCTCGAATAGCTGATTTTCACCTCAATAAAGTGATCTCCCTTTTAAAATATATCAAACCACACCTTGTTTCCTTAAAAATCCAACCTGTTCCCTGAGCCTTGTTCCTTAAAGAGCTGACGAAAATATTCTTCAGGACCTATCTTGATAGTATGGTAGGCATTAGCGTTTTTCATCGTTCAACTCACAATCCCGCCATAGAGGGTAGCACATAAACACTACGCAGGTCCAAGATAGGTGAATTAAGCTGACTGGAGGAGTTAGTCAAGCTGTGTTGTACTGTAATGGGAAAGCGATAAAATGCTCGAATCGAAAGAAGACGACTGAATTGAGCTCAGATTACGGCTGCTCTACTTATTGAAGATAATCATTACCTTTAGGACTCACGATAAAAAGCCTTAATTTCAATTTCCAGGTAGCCTTTCCTGGAGCCATATGCAATGCGTTGGTGGCGATGTTTGCTCGTGCCATACCAACACTAAACAATCCATTTGGACGACTGACAGCTAGTCAAGCTACGGGAGAAACTTTCCTATGCGCTCTATTCGCCTTCTATTATGTGCCCATGGTGTTTTTGTGAGTATTTTTTTAGTCAAAACCCAATCAAACGGCGATTGAAATTTGCAGGAAAAAAGATTCAACGACCCAACCGACTTGCGCCCGCATTGCCGGATAGGTTCTTAGTTCCCTCGAGCAGATGGCTTTAAAACAAATTAAAATATGGCTTCACAAAAAACTAGAATATAAACAAAAATTAGGATGTAAATCTTTGGCACGGGGCGAGGGGGAGGAACTGGGAGAGTTATGGCGTGTAGAATCGAAAATAATGAAAAAAAAGTGAATTAGGAACATCTGAACAGTTTTAGGAGAGGTAGAAAACGGAATTCAATACGAAACATTGTGAGGAAGTATTCGAATCAATATGAACTTGCTTGGGGGAAGGGGACGAGGGTGACCCGCGCGATCACAGGTCAATGATGACACTACCTCCACCTCAAGTTCCACGTTCCTTTCACAGAAACATCTAGGATTACTCCCAATTATTCACACTTACAGCCACCTGCATTATCTAAAATAAAGGATCACGGTCAGTTTAATCTGATAAGTTATCTAGTTAGTTCTAAAAGATTTTATTTGCTGATAGTAACGAGTTAAGCGCTTCGAATCAGAGGCCCATCATTTCTCAGTTTATACAAAGACGACTTTCTAAGTGAAGAAATTGCCCAAGTTCAACGAGAACTGTGATCATTGACAGAGGGGACGTCCAAAAGCTATAGAGAAATTCTTTTTTCCAGCTCGAAGAAAGCAAGGTAGTGAGTAGCTGGTGATACGGTTATAATTCATATTTTGGACGAGTTGAGTTAGCTATCTGGATAGTCAATGTATTTACTGCTTACCTGTGCTTTACTCTGTGGCAGCTTCTGCTAGTACTCTGGAAAGAGGTCATCATGAAAATGGTGTTAGCATGGTGCCAGTCCCAGGACTTGAAACTATGATTGACCCAGTCTGGGTGGGGTTGTTGAGTACAATATGCTTTTGAGTAGAAAATTTCGGATCAATCACAACCATGGCAGCAACACTCACCAATCCATGATTCAGAAAGTTATTGCTGTGCTCGGCCATTTATACTTTGGAATTTCATTTAGTCCACATTCCTTTTCAGAGACATACAACTCATGAAAGATTCTTCTGGTTATGTTGGTATCCTTCTAATGATCTGTTATGATATCTGCATCTTTTCCCATCTGGTCATCTCCATCAACCGGATGTCAGCCATCTATTTCCCAATAAAGTATTATATTCACTTCAGGTATGCTACTGAATTCTAAGAAGTAGTGGGTTCATTGTCATCGAAAAAGGGATGGGCATCCCTACAGAATCTACTGGTCCCACGTGCTTTGCAATCGCTCATTTCATTCTTATCGTATCATTCCAAAGTGAAAGACCCCACTGAAAAGCGATCGAAAAGCCGATAGATCAGAGCGTAAAGAACCAAAAGAAGGGGATTCAGCTCTTAGGAGAGAGTCACAGCCTACTGAATGAGTTCGGGTACTCTGAACTCTATGCTTTGCTGTGACTATGACATGGCCGACCTCCCTACCGGCTGAGCACAACCAAACGCCATAATGGGAACCTACTATCACCATACTGCAGTAAAGGCAACTTTTTCGCATTTATACCGAAGATATTCAAGTTCTTTGTTGGTTTTTGTACTGGAACCATATACTACATGCATCGTTTCAGTAATCGCAACACTACCATCATCATCGTCATTATATGGATGCTAGCTATTCTTTCACCGATCTTGCTTCGTAGAGGAAGTGAGTTCTGAACATAGACAATTATGACTGCTATTATATACTTCTTCTAGGTAGGGGGATTTGGACGAGTTGCCCCGATGTGCATATCCTCGCTTGGCTACAGTAAGCTTTCTGCCTGTGAGGTGTGTGCCATGGTGGGGACCCTAAAACACCCTGTCTAGACCACTTTTCGACCAGACAGAATCCCTTGCGCTATCCTATTATTTCGGCGGTTCATCTCACGGAGGAAACTCGGAAACCAATGTAATCGTGAACCGTGCATTCATGTGCTCCAGATACTCTTGCAGACACGATGCGCTAGTATTAGGTTGAGTAAAAAGTTTTGATCGACTCTTCATCTCTTTGTAGATTCTTTTGTAGGACCGCTCGGAAGGACTTCGGTAGAGCGACCCCTTACCTGTACTTCTAGGCGGATATATAAACATTCCCTTGTAAGTACTTCGTAAATATGATTTCAACCTTCAACTGTCGTCCGAAGCTGTCTAAGGGCTATTGTCTATCACGGATTACCGTAAGGGTATAATTCACCGACGAATGTCGGATCATCTGTGGTGCATCCAGAAGAGTCATCGCATATCAACCCACGGTTGCCTCGTGGCGAAACACCTTCAATACAAGCAGAGAAGTGGACTATGTCCAAGGAGGGTTTTACTGCGTCGTCGATGGGATTCTTAGGGAGTGCTCTACTTTGGATAACTTCATGAGGGTTCCACCGTGACCGCCGATTCACGCTTCTCACTGCAGAGTTTGGTCGACATTATTCGAAGGTAGCGTCCGCAGTGGCGAAATGTTGCCTTCTTTACGACAGCGCACGACCGTATGTTGCAAAACTGTCTCGTCAGAAAATTGCTGAACTTGGGTGGAAAGTAATGCCCTATTCTCCCTATTCGCCAGGTCTCGCTCCGTCTGAGTGCCATTTGTTTCATGCTCTGAAGCATCACCTTTGCAATAGAAATTTCGATGGTAGTTCGGAACTCAAAACTGAGATTTCCAGTTTTTTCGAATCGCGGCCGCCGCCGTTCTGAGCTTCAGGTATCAGAAACTGCCGGATTGCTGGACATACGGTAGGGACAATGATGGGGACTATATTACCAATTGAGATCCCCTTTCAACGAAAATGAGACTTTTCAAAGTGAAGAAAAAAACCGATCGAAACTTTTACTAGACTATACATAAGGGAGCTATGTATTTAAAGTGGAACTTTCACCGATTTATGTCTTTATTCAAGTGTACAGAATTAGTGTGCATCGGGTAGACAGGGTGAATCGGATTCTAAGGAATGAAAAAGGGTATTTCTCGTTTGCAATCTGCTCCATCATAGGACTCTGTTTCTTTGGTGACTTCTGAATTTCACATTCAGGCATCTGCTCATTTCACTACTCGGATGAGATTTACACATTCGTCTTCAGTTCCAACGAGGTAATGTTCCAATTCTAATTTTAACACTATCAAAAGGACTGACGGTAGTAAACCCATTCGAAGCAATCGGCCCTAGCGAGTCAGAGTCGATTGAAATATGAAATTCAATCGTTCCAGGAATGTGGATGGTTGCGATATTTTGATTTTAGCCAGGACGTAACCATAGTGACCCTAATTGCTATCATTGACACAACGTCAATTATCAAGTACAGGCTCACTTCCATACAGGTAAAAAGTTTCTAAGGTTTGTATTCAGTTCGTTAATTAGTATTGAGGTTGCTTATGTGTTTTTGCAATACATCTGAATGCTTTGTTTCTTATCCTTTTTTAGAAATTTTTGAAATCATGCACTTCTACCGTGATAGAGCAGTAGAATGTTGTAGAATGTTCCAGGGAAGGATTTTGAAGAGAAGATATAAAGTACATTATACAAACAAACAAATAATTGAGCAAGCTAAAGGTGAAAATCAATCTCTGTTGTCCTTACTACTGCATTATTCGGGTAGTGAGGCTATGAGGTCGAACGATGAAGTACTATCGAGTCATTTTTAAATGTGAAAGATACCCTTGAGCCCACCGTTTCGGTAGTCATGAACAGGTGTCAATGAATACAGAATACTGTAGGACACAGGACAGCTTACTATTTGCCAATATGCCAAATGCTGAATTTTGCCTGATGAAAAGGCTATATTAGGAGTATGTCCCATGCACGGGCCGATGTTTGTCGGGTAAAGCTCACCAAATCCCATCCTTCTGATAAACATCCGACCAATTGGTTTCAGGCCGATTTGACAGGAAAAGTGATTATAGTCAATCTTCGAAGGCTAGTTTATGTCTTCAGATTATACGGACTTAAATACATACTTTCACGGTTTTCAGCGAAAATTGATGGCATGGCGTGATCTGTTGCAGTGTGAATTAAAGGCACAGCTCATCAGACAAAAATGGCTTCCAAGATTTTTCCCTAGAATGGACCTGTGGCCACCAAGGATATCATGGGACATAGTCGTGGCGAAAGACTACCTCGGCAGGACGCTAGAAAGGCTCCAAGACAGACGTACACACCCAATAGAGGCTGTGCTCTAATGGTGCTGTTAAGGATACACCATTCATGATGAAGCGTTAGGACGCCAACGAATAGAGCGCTATGCATGAGACACCCAGACAATTACAGACACATAATCCCGTACACCTCCCTTTCTTACTACTTTTTTAAGGCCTTATATTGCTTGTAACCCGCCGAAGTTTCACGCTTTCTTCGCCATTATTTCTCCAAATTACTGTTATTCTCCTCTGAAATAGATTTACTTACGCTAGACCTGCGCTAGGACTCATTTTACTTAAACGATATTTTAAAATTAGCGTAAACGAATGGAAAATACTCTTGCTCTTCATGGCTACTTCAAATCCCACCCTACGAATACGTAACTACTTAAATAAATAAATGAGCAATTGATTAATCATAATACGATTCTCATTCTTAGCCAAAGCCTTAATGATAACTGGTATTCCAGATGGCTAAAGCTATTCGCCTGGTGACGGCATCGAAAAGGAAAGCAGATATGAATCTACTGAAACAGGTCACATAGATTTACCTTTATTTTGTAAATACTAAGCTTAGTCAGTTTACGAGTTTATCAACCCTATAGCAAAACATGAGCATTTGTATGTCCTCCATATCAGCCTAATAAGCACGTAAATATTCGCAGAAACCTCGTAGACAGGATCGAAAATGAAGGTGCGGATGGGAAGCGGTTTGCCCTTTTGAGTTCTCGACTGGCAGACTGAGTTCTGGGCAATCGTGCGCAAGTGTATTTATAAAGTATTTCGCCAGTACATCATTAGACAACCCTATGATCAGGAACCACGCACAAAGGCGACCGCATTGCGACCGCACGCTAAATGCTCATCAATTCTGTCCATGTCTCGTTTCGTGACTTGTCCATTACAACTGTATTTAGACTGTTGCTCAAGGTGTTGTATTCGCAGTCGAGCTCAGCACGTACTTCTTTTTTGGCTGGCTATTCCAGAATAAATGGGCAGTTTGGTCACTGACGACATTGGCGTGGAATGTTGTACACCTCAGCGATGCGTGAGTTTGAATGTTAATAAATCTGGTATAAGAAAAATTACTAAGATGGGTATGTCTAGTAATTTTGCGGGCTCCCTGGAGCCCCACTAATGTATCAAGTGCCTACCTACTTGATTAGCCTGATTAGCATAAAATGGCAGCATTTTCGAAGTCAGGGAAATGAAGCCCGACTAGGATAAAAAAATTTTTGTCCGTCTGTTGAATCTCCGGCGGCAGATTGGGGCAGGCCATACCGGAAGGGTGGATAATCATTCGTGCAGGAAAGACTTCGAAATTCTTCGTAAGTAGCATTTACAGTGTAATTAAAGCATTTTTTCTTTACAGCATAATAATCATCACGCTTAACAAGGAATTTCGACGATTTCTGTGCACAATTTTGCCGTGGAATTCATGTAAGCGGAAGAGATCAAACTTGAGAGGTTTTATCTTTCAATGTCACTGTCGGATAAGTTCAAGAAATAATACGAATGAACGGGGACACAAAGCAAAAAGAATGAGTTAAGGAATCATGAAAAAGGAATTGTCGTAGCAGATGCTCCTTAGCAAAGTGAGCTCCGATTGGTATGCGGAGTTACCCGCGCGATCACATATCAATAGCGAACCCAAGTTGCTACGGTAGAGGCACAGATCATGGCACATCAAAGAAGGATAACATACAAAAACCCATAACAAACAATTAAGGTATTTCAAACTGCTCATCGAGTAGAAAAGCATTGCAATGAAAAGTGTGTAAGGCACCCCTGGTTGAAAAATCGCCCTGTAGATTCGGGCTTGCTCGATTTCTTGTTCTACAGTGCTGCCTTACAGAATAACTCGTTCAATTAAGTGAATAACTAAAAGATAAGGCGTAAGGTCTGTGGTTTCAACGGATCCATTTTCCTAGGCTTCGCATTCGACTTACGTTCAGAATCGTAGTCGTTTTGAACCCGTATGTGGCCTATACATACAACCACGTAGGATGGTCAGCCAATGTACAATCCAGTGTTCTTCCCATACAATTCACTTGCCAACCACTAATGAACTCCGGAAGGAGGGGGCCTGCTTGACCTGGATGAATACCCATCCAGGATTCGATCCCTGGATCATGCGTGTGCAATAGTGCTCCACTTACCACTACATACACCAATGTTGGATATTACGGTCTTACTTCCTCCGTTGGAACCCTAAAATCAAAGTATAAGTTTGTTGTTTTAAGACTACCATAAATGCTTTGTTGATACTGCTCAATGCTACTTTTTTTACAATATAGTTATAGTCGGAGGCAAATAAATCTTTCAATAGGTTGGCTTTCGCAGAAAACTGAACCACAGCTGATCTCAATCAATTTTTCAAAATATTTTAAGTATCCAGAACCTTCTCCAATCTTTGCGATCCATTAAATGTTGTATTTTTTCAATGAAAAATATGTTAAGGTGCTCAAAAGAGGAGGAAGTACAACGGACGCGTCCATCCGACGGTAACAGCTGGCATACCTACCATCCCACGTCAGTAAGAAGTTGCCTAAAGAATTGTAATGAAGATAAATTCCTGAAATCCTGGTTCAGATACTTCAGAATATTTTCCAGGATAAGTAGGACGTGAACAAATTTTATATTTGACGATTTTTTGTATAATACATTGTACAGGGTGTCCCGAAATTATTTGCGCCGATTTATAGCAATATATTTGAAATTTCTCAACTGCCAAAGACGATGGAATTTCTATGCACGCCAGCTAACACTATGTGCTGCAATATGCTTGAGTCGCATTTCAAAATATCCCCCGTGAGCGCGAATAGAAGTCAAA